CAGGCCCTGCGACCATCGTACTCTCCCGCCCCAAAGCCCCGTGGCGTCTGGGCTAGCGGCAGCAGAGGCTGGTGGCAGGACAACCACAAGGGTCAGACCGACTGGTACCACGAAGCCGAGGAGACCACGCAGAGGACCGAGCCGCTCGCGATCGAAGAGGTGGTGCAGACCCTTGGTGGGCAGGCCCTCTCCGAGGCCCAGCGGCAGGCGCTCCAGCAGCTCGAGAGCGCCTTTGCCCCGCCGCCACCTGCAGAGCGTCCCGCGCTCCTGGAGGAGGGCATCCAGCGGGCGGCCGCAGCGGAGAGGGCTGCACGTCGGGAGCTGGAAAAGCGAGCCAAGCAGCTGGCCGACGCCAAGCTCTGGCTCGACGAGTGCCAGGCCCGCTCCGATGCCGCAGCTGACGCCCTGGTGGGTGCGGAGGTCAAGCTGGCTCAGGAGAAGAAGGCTTTGGCGGCTCCAGGCAAGGACTCCCAGCCCGAGGGGACCAACAAGGGCGGCGGGGTCATCAACCTCTCTGCCCTGCTGGGCGAAGGCGAGGCCAGCTTCGTCATCGAGGACGGCCCCCTCTTCGACCTTGAGGGGTTGGACATCACGGCCGAGCAGCGGGAGCAGTTCAACAAGCTCAAGCAGACCTTCGAGGCGTCGGTGCAGCAGGCGGTCCGCACGCACTTCGGGCCAGGGGCCGACGTCCTCAAGTCCCAGCGTGAGCAGTTTGAAGAGATCAGGGGGCTCCGCGAGACTTTCAAGAAGCGCAGGCGTGAGGCCCCCCCTGCGGCGGCGGCGGCTGCAGAGGCGCCCGCGCCCCAGACCCCCGAGGGGGGCCCGTCGCAGGCGCCTGCCCAGGCCATGCGCGAGGACCCTCCTGCGGAGGCGGCGGCTGCGGAGGCGCCAGCGGCCCAGAGCCCCGAGGGAGGCCCGCCGCAGGCGCCAGCCCAGTCCCCCCAGGAGGCCCAGCAGGCCGCCCAGCCCGCCGCGGAGGCGCAGGGTGCCCAGGGCGCTTCGCCAGGCGCTGCCAGCGCTGATGTTGGCCCTGACGCTGGTTGCGAAGCCGCTGGCAAGGAGCTGGCGGAGGCCTTGCAGCGCGCCAGGGCTCGCAGGGCGGAGGCAGTGGCCAAGCCAGTGCCGCTGTAGCCCGCGCGGGCTCGGCAGCTCGGCCTCCACGGCCGCAGGTACCAGTACTCAATGCTCTACATGGTCGGGCTCACGGCAGGAGTCTAGCACGTCGCAGGAGTCAGTTTACGGCAGAGGGTCTCCTCCCGACGCAACATCCAGTACATCTCCCTCTACATGGTCAAGTTCACAGGAGATGAGCCCCCCGCGTCATCGAGGCAAGGGCGGCACTCGCAATGTGGGGCTCGAGTTCATAGGCTTCAACTGCCCTTCTTGGGCGCAGGCTATCGATGTGCTGGACGAGGTCGCCACAAGGAAGATCGTGGGTCCCATGCACATCACGTTCCTTCAGGTGCATAAGTCGGTTGCGCCCATCGCCAAGGACATAGAGGCGGCCAGCTTCAACAGGCATACAGCAGCAGTGGTTCCAGCCGTCAGCGGCCCAGGCGGACGACCGTCTAGTGGAGTTGGATTTCGTGTGCCAAGGAATGTTGTTCTTACCCTCGAAGGCATGAGTACGTTTGATATCTCACCTCCTGGCTCGGCTGGGCGCGCGGCAGTGGGCTGGTGCTCTGCTGGACAGAAGGGTGGCCTCATGATTACCACGGCATATTTTTGGACACGTGAAAGTTGGACGATTCAATATTTGTCAATGGAGGCCATCGCTACGGTCATCAAGCAGTACGACATACCGTGGATATACCAAGCAGATTTCAACGAGATGGGGGGGTCTCGGCTCAAGACGTGGTGGTGCCAAGATGTGGGAGGAGTGGTGCGTCTCCCTTCCACTACCACGTGTGCAGGAGTCGGCGGTGGCAGTATCAGCGATTTCTTTGTGCTCGACGCCTGCATCCAGCATGCGTTCGGTGACGCGGTAGAAGTTTGAGACACTGCAGCCGCGACTCATTCGCCAATCCGTCTAGTCAAGCAGCCCAGGATGCGAGCAAAAGGCGGCTGGAGGCTTGCCAAGCCTAGACCTCTCCCAATCGAGAGGCCGTGCGGACCAGTCCCGCAGCCTGCACAGTGGCCAGACTTCGATCATCAGCACGATTTAAAGGGCACCCAGCTCGATCAGCTCTGGAAGCAGGTCTCACACTGTGCTGAAGCATGGCGGTGGGTAGCCGCACGAGCCAGTAATTTCCTCGCACAAGCGGCCCAGCAGGAGGGCACCTGGATGCATGCACGTGCGCAACGAGCAAAGCTCGAGCGCCGCATCGGAGGAGGAAGGAGTCGGCTGGTTCATGACTTGGGGGAGGAGGTTGAGCACGTAATCGCCCAGTTTGAACGATACCGCGCCCTTTGTCTCGAGGGCCCAGCGCTCATGGAGCAGCCCCCAGAGATCATGGGTCTCCAGCGTCGCGCAGAAGCCAATGCTCAGACCATCGAACGGCACCAGGCAGCCGCACGGTCAAAAGATTGGCGAGAACGTTTGAAGAAGGAGTCGACTGCAGGCTCTTCTTTCATCCACAGGATCAGCAAGTGGCGTACTTCTCCTCTCCCCGTTGGGGGTTCCTCCGTTCCCAACCTCGAGCTTGCTGATCCTCAGGAAGCGGCCGACAGGGCCGCGCAAGAGTGGTTTGACGTTTGGGGCTCCCAGGGGTGCCCAGCGTGTCAGGAGCAGCGCCAGGCTGCAAGTGAATCCTATCCTGATATCATCTACCGCGCCTCCTCCTCGCGCACCTCTTCCTGTCTCCTTTCCAGGGCTCTCGTGCCTCACCCACTGGGGGATCCCTTCCTGGACGTCACGCCCAGCATGGAGACCCTGGACCCAGAGTATGGGGACGATCCCCTTCTCTCGGGACTGGCCTACTCGGATGGGTCGGGGGTCGGGGCCTCTGGGTTGAAGTCGTTCGGAGGGGGCCTCTGTTGTGTAGACCAGCATGGAAATATACGCAAAGCAATGCATGGCACGGTTCCAGGAGCTAGGCAGACACAACGTGTGCTTGGAGCAGAATTGCACGGTTTCCTGAATGTTCTGCGGCATGGCGCTGCCCCTCTACAGGTGGGGATCGACAATTCTACCGTCGTTCGTGGCCTCATGCGAGGCCCAGTTTGGTGCCGCCCAGCCAGACGACCGCTTGCCGATTTAGGGCATAGAATTTGGAATGCGATTGAAGATTCGTCCGTTGGGCAGGGTGACCTCGTCGTCGTCAAAGTCGAAGCGCATTCCAAGAAGGCCCATGCCCAACAGCTCGAGGGACTCGAGCTGTGCAAGTACCTAGGGAATCAGAGAGCCGACCTTCAAGCGAAGGACGGCGCCAAGCTAGACGCCATCCCGCCGCATATCAGAGACACGTGGGTGGCCAGATTTAAGGAGGTTTGTGCGATCCTCGGGCTTGTCGGAGATATGACCTGTAAGGCAGGCACAATTGGTGACACCACAGGCCGTCACCAGAGCGCCTCCCAGCCCCCTGGCCCTCGGCCGCGCCGTTCGGTTTTGCCTCCTCCCGAGTCTCGGCACGTCCTGGAGGTGGACAGGGGGTCCTGGAGGTGTGCATGGCGTGCCAGACGGGCCCACAGCTATAAGGCCAAGCTGGTGCTGTCGCGTAAGTTTTGCAGGGAGGGTTTCTCCTCGCACGCTAAGTGGAAGAAGATAGCGAGTGTCGACGGGGCTCCTTTGGAGGGGCCAAGGCGACACATGCTGTCTCGAATTGGCCACACCTTCTGTCGAGAATGCGGCGCCTGTTTGAGCGCCAGGGCTTGTGGGTTTCTTGCAGGTTGTCCTAAGGACCCGAGGGGCCACAAATCCAAGACTCGGCGTAACCGTCTGCTGGCAGGTAAGCATCCTTATAAGAATGACAGACTGCCTGGAGAGG